TTCAATCAATGCCGTCCAGTAAGCAAGCACGAGCCCACATGCAGTAAAAAAAATACACGGGGGCTTGGGGCGAATTAGCCCCCGAAATGCCAAAAAGAGCCCCCGTAAATTTGCATAGAGTTCAATGCAAACCAAATTTTAGAGTGCTATTTTCCTGCACGCGAGCTTGAAAAGTAGCCCCCGAAAAATAAATTAAATTTTTTCCCCTGAGCACATGCATATATACTCTACTACTTTTGTAACTTCGGGATGCTATTGAACCAGAAAAATTAGCTGCTCATCAAAGCTGACTATATTCCCCAGTTAGTACTTATCAGCTTTACTACTTTTTACAGTACCTCACACACAGTACACACACCTACACGCATGCACACGCACGCACGCGCACGCACACACACACGTGCACGCACAGACGCAAAACCATTTGACTTTTGCCAGCGCCGTTGCCGTGCCGTGCCGTGTGTGGAGACAGGCCTTTTTTAAACCCCAGGGTTTCTTCTGAGGGGAAATTAGACAACGGTGGTAATGCACAGTTTGGGGAAAAACGCACATGATGGATTCAAAGGCGTGCAGTGTGTGCGTTATGTGGATTCTGCAGGCAGACGCGGAGGGAGAGAGGTAGAAGGGGTTCTGGGGGTCTCCCCAGCAAAATTTAAAACATTTGAATGTCTTAGACTGCATTTGATGCGCCCCAAAAATAAAATTTCACCCTTTAGTTTAAATCTTACTCTGTTAGCAGACCTACTAAGTCTCACGCTGCGCATTTCGTGGGAGACTCACGCATCTGCACCCATTCTCCCGCGCTCCCGCATGCTCTACGCATTCTCACGCATTCACGCCAAAGAAAAAAAAACGAAAAAAGCAGCCCGCGACACCCCTGTTCCCCCCGACACCCCTGTTACTCACGTCCGTGGCTGTGCACATCGTGTTATTTACAGTAATACTAATAGTTTACAGAAGAGTTTTCGCAGCACATGCATATAGGGCAGGAGGGCCTACTCTACTACTTTTGTAACTTCGGGATGCTATTGAACCAGAAAAATTAGCTTCTCATTAAAGCTTTTATACTGTGTGTATAGTACTGTCTATAATGTACTGCGCGCGCACGTGCGTGCGTACGTGCGCGTGCGTGCGTATTGTGCGTCAGGTACTGTAAAAAGTAGCTGTTTGTGACCCTACCATCCACAACAGTAGAGGGGTTTTAGCAGACATAATTTGGTTAAACAGCTGAGAAATAACCTGAAAACAGAAAGTGTTTGTGACATTCTAACCATCAAAATTAAGGCCCAGAATAAGATATGTTTGACTTTGAAAAGTGCTATGTCCAGCGGTGTGCCAAAAAAGATAGGAGAATTTTCCTGCCAGCAGTGAATAAAAAAATTCAGACAAATTGAATGTCTTTGTCAGTTGATCAGTCAGAGTCATGGTGGTGAATCATAGTGTTAGTGTCTCAGTCATAGACAGGTGGTGAATAATAGTTTGTTTGCATTAAATAAGTGTAGTTTTGTACTTCATGCATATAAAA